GGGAAGCCAGAAGCCAGAGGAGCGCGCGCTTCGGTCCACGCGCAGCACGAAGAGTTCGCAGCCCGTCCGGTGCAGCCGCCGGACCCTGCGGGGTCTGCAGCCCGGGGTCTCCGTGACGCAGTTTTCATTAGCATTTGGAAAGCGGAATATATTGGTGCAAAGCTTTTTCGTTTTGGTGTTTGGCTTTGGTTTTAAAGAAATTAAATTATTTAGCCAGAGGAGCGCGCGCTTCGGTCCACGCGCAGCACGAAGAGTTCGCAGCCCGTCCGGTGCAGCCGCCGGACCCTGCGGGGTCTGCAGCCCGGGGTCTCCGTGACGCAGTTTTCATTAGCATTTGGAAAGCGGAATATATTGGTGCAAAGCTTTTTCGTTTTGGTGTTTGGCTTTGGTTTTAAAGAAATTAAATTATTTTCATCATAAGTATCCATAATTGCCTGGTAAAATACTGCTTAAGGGTAGTCATATAATTCTGCCTTAAAACTTGAAGTATTAGAAGTAAAAATACAACATCCCTGAATTTACGTAGTCCGAACCCACGTGTGCTTAGAAAGGATTTTATTACAGAGATCCTGACTAATTACGTAATTGCACAACAGGCAACAATAGCTTCAAATGTCCTCTAAAAACCCTGTTCAATTATGTGATTACCAGTGAGACAAATAGCTTCCAATGAATTGTTCTTATCTCTTTACTAAATGTGAGCATGTCAGTATTTTAATCCCAATTATGTTTACCCTCGAAGTCTTAGAGAACTTAAACAATATTGTTCAGGTTCATAGTTCCTACAATACACATTATAAAACAAAGAAGACCTTTGGCCTCATTACCAAAGAGAAAGAAAAAAGAAAGCTCCTCCCCATTCATAAATACACATTTTATCGATGTTGGGCTGTGCACAGATGAGATGCATACGTATTTTCAGTGATAGGATTTCTCAATTCTAAAAGTGAGTTCACCACCTTAGAATTTAGACAGTGCACAACTTTAAAAAAGATGTTAAACCCCAAGTTTAACAGCGCTCACTTTCCCTTCCCAAATAACTAGCATGCTACTGTATGTATCTTTGCAATAATATAGCTAAGAATTAATATGAGAAAATGAAAAAAATGGGAGCAAAGTCTTTGTAAATGGGAGGGTTGAGGGGTTGAAGGGAGGGCGGGGGAATGGAGAAAAAATAAGAACCAAGATGGATTATGTAAAGGTACAAATTCCCAATGATGAATGTCATTATATTGTATACCTAAAATGTACCAATAAACGTAACAAAAAAATAGTATTTAAACAAAAAAACATACCTCAAGGAAGGGAGGTGAGTAATTGGCGGAAGATAAAATACACGTGTATCTTCACTTCCACACTCAGCTTTAACTTCCTAGGGAAAATCATTTTTTAAGGTCTGTCTTGCTCCAAGTTAAATAATTTAAACCACTTGGCTAACAGTAGCTATTCTTTAGTCTACATAGTCAATTCAAGTGGGTAACGAATAGACCTGTTTCCTTCTTAAGAATTCCTAGTAGTAGCTCATGTTCAAGTAAATCATTTATAGTTTGTGAACTTATAAAATACAAAAATTTCACGGACTACATACAATAATTACCAGCGTGTCAAGGCAGTGTTTTATACAGTCAGTGTTACCAAATACGAACACTTTTGTGTATTTGCCCCAGAAAGTCTTCTTGTGGATTATCTGAAATCCACAGCATAATTACCAATGCGTCTCTATTTCATGTACGGGACAAATGACATTAAGAAAGAATTTAATTTTATTTAGGAAATGGCTTTAAAAATGAGCAAAGGTATGGAGAAAAACCCCTCACTCTCACAGTGACCTGGAGGAATACAGTGTTTATCACCTGTCAGTGGATTTCTTTCTAAGCCCTAAAACATACCGGTGCATGACATGTCCAGGCTTCCGTAGTTTAACTTTTTTTTTATTGGCGTGTATTTGTCCCTTTCGACATGTGAAGCTTACAAGAATACTTATTCCTACACAGATCACTTGTCTGTCTGTCAAACATGTGCACATATCATCATTAGATGATACTCCAGGGTTATCAAACAAGGTGATGGATTTTTCAAGTGTGTCTGAGAGAAATCTGTCCTGATAATTCATAGCCACCTTGATGTACTGTTGCTTCTGAATTTTAAAACTGGCAAAGGATTGTTGTCTTTTAATCTACAAAATCGGTCAATTTTCTGGTTTTCACCATTTTTTACATAGATAAACTTGTAGAAATTAGGGGGTATTTTTGAAACAGGTCCTTCTATGTCAAATAAAGCTGTGATTAAAACCCTTGCTAAGAATATAATTAAGAGCTAATAAATCTCTATATTCATTTTTGTTAGAAATTACAAGTTTAATTTTAAAAAATACATCATTTGAGACCTCTGGTGTATCTAACTGATGTGATTCTAATAAATAAAAATTATTTTTTCTGCCTACAGTTGCAGGCACAATTCATTCCGTAGAACTTACTGGAAGTTTCAAAAGTACATTCACACTTTAGATTTTGTGGTTCTTCCTATAGCAAATTAAGTGGTAATGCGGTTTCTGTATGTTTCCTTCAAATTAAGAATTTTTAAAATGTACTAGCAACATCTGTGTGTGTTTATCTCTGAGAATAATCACTATATAATTATTTCTAAAAGGCACACATTATTACAATGCTTTATGTCATAATTGAAGTAATTCTTCTATTCTATCCAAACCAGTAATTTTCAGTCATTACCCCAAAGGTGTTTATTTTGTCTTACTTCTCTATTTCTCAAAAAATAGTGTGTTTTTATTTCTATTATTTTATATTAAAAGATATACACTATAAGATTATTATGTCTAGTCTATTGCATAAAATTTGTGCAAGTTGAATGTTTATGATAAAGATAGTAAAATATTTAAGACTGATAAATAAAACATGCACCATCTTTTAAAATAGATAATTATTTAGAATTTATATAGAATTTTAAAATATATATAATGTACTAACCAGTATAAACATTCACATTTCTCATTGCCTACAGGCAATAGTTTCTGTTCTTTCTTAATGATTTAAAAGCTGGGACATGTAGGAATTGCCAGATTGGAGATATTGTTGGCGTTAATAGAGCAGAGCTGTCTGTGCACAGCTTTTGTCAAGGAAAGAAGAATGAACCTCTAGTTGATTGTCGTACAAGAGGAAAAATCCGACATGTCACAAGCCTTGATAACTATTTTTATTTTTCATTGGTTGTACAGTCTGTAGCTGTGATCTGTTAACGCCTCTTCTTTAGATATTGATTGTGAACACAAGCACAGTGCCTTTCCCACAAGACAGTTACTCAGCATGCAGTTATCTTTGTGGAAAAGATCAAGAGCTTTGCAGACCAGCTCTTGCAATGGAGTTCAAGCTCCTCCCAGCCCGCGGTGCCACCCCAGGTTGTTTTCTAACTCCTGAACGTACGGGTACAAGAATAAACACACACACAGGGCTCTTCCTCTCACGAGCCCCACAGTGCACCTGTGCACACATGTCTGATGACATCTGCTAACACAGTAAATCTCAAGTGGTTTGTGGTGTCATCGAAACCCGGAGTTGGATGCATGGCTCAGCCCCAAAACCCAGCCGTGGCCTTGTTACACTTCTGGCCTAAATAGAGACAGACTCGGACTTGTTCCACAGCCAGAGGCTTTCAAGAGCAGGTTAAAGTGGTTTCCACAAAAAAAGCCTGGAGTTGTGACTCAGTGTGAAAAATCTACTGTCTGATTCAAGGATGACACATCAAGGGCATCTCCTAGCTTCAAAAAGAATCATTTTTATCACAACTGTGAGGATTTCTAAATTTGAAGTAATAATCATTTTTATGTCTTTAAGATGAACTTCAATTAAATCTTCATATTTTATTTACTCACTTTTACATAACTTTAACATTTCACTTTCAGTAAAAATGCCCACAAAAAGAAACGATAAATTTGAATCAATTTCAGCTGCAATGATGACTAAAGTGAGCAAAGAAAAAGCAAATGTTTTCTCAAAAAATTTTCAAGATATTTTGTACCATATGTAAGGTTTCAGAAACAACAGAATTACTAAGGTATCTTTTTTTTTTTTTTTTTTTTTTTGGTACTGGGGATTTAACTCAAGTCCTTGTGCTTGCGGGGCAGGCGGCAGAAACAAAGGGCTAAATCCCTGGTCTAAGCTATCTTTTAAACCATTGAAAAAAAAAAAAAAAAAAAAAAAAAAACAGAGGCAGAGGCATCTGGCAATCCAGAAATTAGTGAGGCAATAGGATGCAGGAAGCCCTAGACAGCCTACTGATCCTTAGTGCAGCCCAGTCAGGCAGAGGACACTCGTCTTTGCTCTGTGGCCACTTTAAACAAGGAAGTCCACAAGAGGCCCCTGCCCTCGAGTCCTGTGGCTGGTGGCCTCCAGCGTCCTGCATTCCTGTGGGCACATCTGGAATATGTTGGGTCATTTAAAATTGCCCATTACTCACTGGGGATCGATAATTATAGTTCATGTCTTTGCTCCATATCTCAGGAACCCTAGGTATAGCTCAAGAAGTAGAGGAATAATTATTTCTCCTAGAAACACGCATACATGCTTTGCATGGATCCAGACTTGGGTGAGGTGCACAGGGCAAGGATGGCTTGGCTTGGTGGGGTCTCTGAGTTTATGTTACAGAGGCCCTTGTGCTAATCCGCGCCTCCCAACTTGGTGAGAACAGAGTAACCTTCACGTGGCCATTAGGAAACCTCCAAAGAAGCACACCAAGTAACAACCCAT